TGCGCAGCCAGAGGGCTTGCTTTGCGGCATGCGAGAGCGCAACGTATTCAGCCTCTGAGGTCGACTGCGCGACGATGTCTTGGCGCTTCGAAGACCAGGCGATTGCGCCGCCAATGAGGAACGCGTAGCCTGAGACAGCCTGACGGCCCTCGGTTGACATTCTGTCTGCATCCGAATAGCCCACCAAGGGCTCCGTGTCATCGCCGCCGAGTGTGAGCGCGAGATTGCGCGTGCCCTTCAGATAAGCGTACACGCGCCGAAGCGCATTCCAGTGCTTCAAGCCGGGGTTTGCAGCATAGCGCGCGAGTTGCGAGACTGCGTATGCAATATCAGGTCGAGTTGCGACTGCGGCGTACATGAGGGCGCCGAGAGCCTGGCGATAGGGCTTGTGGCGCATGGTTGCGACTTGGCTTCCTCACTGCTTTCGCGCGCATACACACGGCGCACTCTTCTTCGTCCATTCGCTCTGGATCTAAGGTGAGTCCTTGGACCATGCCACCGGTGATCATCTTCTTCAGGTAGCCATAGGACGCATGCCCAAGATACTGATGGAGCTGGAAGAGGGACAGCTTCGGAGACGTGGGTGCAAGCACAGACGCGGCGAGCGTAGCCTCTTCGTGGTAAACACGATAGAGACCGCGGACCTTCGGGATTGAGCAAACGGTGGCGCTGTTAGCTCGTACGACATGACAATAGCCTCCGCCAATGATCGAGTACAGCTTGGCGTCATCAAAACGACCAAGCGAGACCAGGGTCGCGTGCATAGCCGGAGCGTATAGCACATTCTTCAGCAAGATGCGCACCCGTGTGTCACCAAGAGGAGCCACAATTCTCATATCACCAATGCCGCGAGCAGCAAACGAAGTCTTTCCCGCAGCAAGCACCATCCGCTCAGGGATATCGCGGTAGTTGAACATGAGATGGCGGTAAGGTGTCATGTGGTTCGTCGCACCGGAGTCGTAGACATCGACCATGGTGTTGTACGCGGTCGTGAGGCCCTCGTCAATGCTCTGGTCGGCCATCAAGCCTTCGTTGGAGGTCATCCAGCCCTCCTCAATCTCAACAATCTTAGCTGCAATTGTTGCGGGAGGTTTGGCAGTGCCCGAAGATGTGCCCCTGCTGTCTCCAGAGGATGAAGAAGCTCCTTGCGCGACATTCGCGCTGTCGCCGGTCTTCTTGACCTGCTGCTTCGACGGGCAAACATTGGCCCGGTGCCCTTTCCCTAAGCACTTGAAGCAAGTAATATTCGCGTCTGTAGTGGCTTGTCCTTGCCTTGAACCAGCACCGCTGCCGGTCTTAGCGCCGCCGCGGCCTCTGCCCTTGCCGCGCCTGCCACGAGAGTCAATCGCTGCTGCAACTTCCTCTTTCGGCTTCGACCGTGCGATGCTCATGCGGGACTGCGCTTCCGCACGCAATAGCGGGAGAAGCTCGGTCGACTTGACCACCCGCTTAGTCGCAGGATTAGTGGCATTGTAGACATGAATGGAAGACTCGTATGCCTGAACGATAGACATGTACGAGGCTGGTACAGAGGCGATAACGGCGTCCGTGAAAGTCTTATCCTCGATGGTAATTCCGGCCTCCGCGATCTCCTCTTTGAGCGCGAGAAGACGATCCAGATGCTCCTGCATCTTCTTCTCGTTATCGCAATGCAACGAGAACAGGCGCTTCTGGGCGCTTGCCTCGGACACGGCAGTGGTCTGCCCGAAGCGGGTCTTCATAGCATCGATGATGTCGTTGGGAACCTTCGCAGTGCTCGAGATGTTCATGAAGAT